CTCGGACCTATTTCAACACCACCCTGTTCGGCATCCAACAGTGCACCCACCATTTACTACATGCCTACATCCACTAACATCCGGCCAAACCATCCAGAAGCGAGCACGGGCCCTGCCGGACCCTGGTGGGATGATGCTGGCGCCCCACCGTGAGAGGGCATTAGACTTGACTTTGCGGTTTTTGACTCAATGTATATAGCTCGCCGATATTGCCAGCTACAGCAAAACATCCCCAGTACTCAGATTTCCATGTTTTCCATGTTTGATGTTTCTGTTTTCTTTTACTTATTCGTTGTATTGACTATACCTTTGCAGAATTTTCAGGACAGGCCTTCAACGGATAACTTCACTAGACGACTCCAGCCATTGTGGCTCAAAAGTTTCGACTACGTATCGCCTTCAACTTTCTTTTGCAGGGAACAATCATGGACGCGCATCAACAATGGTGGCAACACTATTATTACGGCGCTGCAACACCCAGTGCCGGCTATGGACCCTTGACAAATGCAGTACGTCATCACTACCAACATCCCTATCACCACCCTCACGCAACAAACACGACCGACCATTCTGCAGCTCCCCCAGCACCGACCGCGGCGTTCCCTCCAGAACCCCTTCCCCCACCCCCGGCATCCAGCCATCCAGCCCCTCCACCACTCGGCGTTGTACCCCCCAACATCCCTACCCTGCCTGACACATGAACCCCCAGCGACACACACCTCGACACCAATACAGTCCATGGTCAAACATTGTTCCGCGCGATCCAGCCGACACAATGGTCCAGAAAATACAATCTGGCAGGACAACCTGTCCTGGACATCTTGCCCTGGCAGCTCAGTCGCTTTGGTCTTCAAGACCACAGCCTTCGTACCCTATCCCAAGGACGATACACTGGCATCGTGACCACCAGGTCTATCGCAGAAGCAGTTTTCACCTCACAATTGTTGCCAGAGATGCGAGCTCACAACCTGGACATCGACAATATTGCTGAATATTTACACCAACAAGCCAGTCAACCCATTCCAAACAAAACAACAGATGCCAAGCAATTCATGCAACCACTCATTTCCCGTTTGATTGACTTCCTACGAGGCCTCACACCACCCGCAGGTGAAGGTACAGCACTCCGCAAACTTCAGCAACAGACAGAACGCCTACACCAGCAAGAGAGTGAACTCCAACGCGCTCGCGACAAATTGAAGACTCATGGCATCGCCATTACACCAACAAAACCCGGAACACACCCAACCCGTCATCAGCTTCCCAACCCCATCTCCCACTTACAGCCCCAGCAGCACTCACAGCCAACACCATTCTCAACCCCACATCTCAAACTTTACACGACAACTCACCCGCCAACTACGCGGCAGCAGGCATTCAGAAATGGCTCAAGACACTACCACCAGCCACACAGACACAAGTCACCAATATCCAGCAAATTCTTCGAGACGAACGCATCACAAAGGAACAGCTCCAGGAGGCAGCCACGCGCTATGGCATCCCGCTCAGCCGAGTACTTAAGCTACCACCCCGCTCACTACAGCAGCTGGTGGCCGCGGGTTCGGCATTGGCGGCCTGACTCGCTCAACAAGCACTGCATCAACCAACACATCTCACTTTGCAATTTTTGACTACACTCCACACAGGACTTTCACACATTGTCCACTTCACACCATACATTGACAAGACCCACGCGATCTTCTCGATCAGTCTTATTCACCTCACGTGCCTCTTTGCCTTTCCATCTCAAACATACCACTCTCAGCAATGGCGCACACGCTTCAGTCAGCTACAGGTCGCCCCACACACTTACCACTACCACATGTTCCAACAACCCAACGCCGTGTACGCAAAACTCTTTTTCAATCAGCACCACACCACACACCAATACCATCAGCACGGACATACTTACATCGGCTCTACCACCATCACCATTCCGAAGCGAGAATACAACCGTCACGCCAAACTCAAACAATTACACAACAACCACCCAATTTCAGCCGAACTATCCTTACGCTACTGGCACTCCAAGAACAACCTCCATCACTACAGCACTATCTTTCTCTCCCACCACGACACCTACGACCAAGCCTGGACTTATGAACACTTGCGGATCCAAGAGTGGCAACCCACCCTCAATTGGCCATACATTCAACGACACCTCAAACTCAAAGCCTCTGGCTGGCAATTTGCAAAACACCGCACCACCTTCACGCGCATGTCCACTCACAAGCGCCTTTTTCAAAGGCTTCGACGACGTCAACACACCATCAAACAGCCGCACCTCCACACAAGTCAACGCGTACATGCCCTGACAGTCCTACGTGAGCTCAGCAAACATACACGTTCATCTTTTGAAACCTCCACAGCCATCCGCAGCGGCAAATACCCAGATCTCGAAATATACGCCTTCCGACGCATGGCCGCCAGCCTGGAAGAACCAGATAGATCACGAGTTCTTCACCCCTTACACACAGCACTCAACTTCCGCAATCTCACCCCACCGAAAGCCAACAAGCCATTCACCATCCCTTTTCTCTCCCACAGCACTTTCTCATCCTCCACGGAAAAATGGCTTCGCACATTGATCCAACACCACATGCACCACGTCATTCCATTCCATCCACCCACCACAAAACTGCGCGAAGCAGCACACAAGACATTACGATCACGGCTATACAATCACAAACGTTGGGAAGAACTGTTCTCAGCACAGCCCTCAGCGGCCGACATGCCATGCAGCTGCCACCACATGCACTCTTTACTTCGACCCAACCACACACCACCGCTCCACGATGGCCATTACGTGCTCACACTCGACGACCTTCAGCTACCGAGCCATCTTCAAATATTTCTCCAAGCCAACATGAACAGCACCTTCTTTCCCACGAAGACACAATACTTTCAACTCTTCCAACAGCACTCCACTCAATGGTTACGACACCATGGTCTACCCACCGCCCTTTACCAACACAGCTTACCTTTTCTACACCAACAATGGAAACAACACATCGACAACATTCTACATACACCGCGATTCACATCACGCAATGTCACCCCATTACAGCAGTTCCTTACAGACAAACTGGTGTTGCATCACGCAGATCACGAACTGCAGAATCTACGGCTTTTCTGCCCACAACACTATTTCCACGGATGTCTCACTACCTGGAACACACCACAACTCTTTCTACCACTACCAGACCTTACTGACCAACAACTGCACCAGCTGCTCACTCAATCTTACCCCGCCAACATACGACGAGCCTATCCATGGGGATTCCGCAAACAATTCTACGCACCACATGGGGTAGTCTTCCTCAAGCAAAAGAAGTCATGGCGAAAAGGAAGAACAGTCATCAGCTACTTTAGATCTATAGCAGGTACCCTTTTACGGGCCACCTCCAAAGCATTGGACATCATGCTTCTTCATCTTCTACCTCAACATCCTGGACGACTCTCCATCCCCAACCTATGGCAGCACCTCCATAACCATTTCCAGACAACACCTGAGGACATCCACCTCACACCGATCAATGACGACCTCGTAGGTTTCTTCAACAGTGTACCCCAACAACGTCTCGTCGACGCAGTCATCAGCCTATGCAATCGCTGGAAAGCTCAACACACAACTACCACCGTCACCATCGACGTACAATCCACCGGCAATCCCATACAACACTCCCACATCGGTCGACATTACATCCACCACCCACAACAACGCACACTCGACACTCAACACATTCCCATGATCGTACAACAAGCCCTCCAATCATGCATTTTTCAAGCCTGCAACACCTACTACAAGCAAATCCAAGGAGCAGGCATCGGCAGTCAACTTTCACCAGCACTCTGCAACGTAGCAATCACACTCATCGAACATACCTGGCAAACCACATACCATACCTTTTTACAACAACCCAGCCTTCACCTACTCAACACCCGCTACATTACGTTGACAACCGCTATATCTTGCTAAACGAACAATACAGATCAGCACTCCCTATCACCACACTTGCCCATCCCGATTTTTACGAACACCCGGTCGAAATAGAGCCAGTGGACGACGACCATTTACTCGGTTTCCTGATTGACCCACTCAACAGAACAGTCACCTCTCAACTCCCCACACATCCCTGGCAGATTCGTGATCCGCAGCCAGCGGGGAGTCACAGACTACGCCTTTCAGGCTTACAATCGCGACACCACACACTACGCAAATACACATTTCCACAGCAGCTCGCACCTACCACAGCACAGCAGTTGATGCAGCTCTATATGACAAAAGGTCATTCAAAGGAACATTGTGCCGCGGCGCTGCGGCCACGAGGAAAAAGGACGATCCGCCAGCAGAGTCACTGTACATTCCTCTACATTGCCTGATACACAGGTTCCTCTCCGTCCTTGAATTCCTTTTTCGACGTCCTGATCTTCCATTATTTACCCCACATGTATTTTCTGATCCGGTCTAGTTGCGCCGATTCGGCTCTTTGTGTGTGTCCACTCCTGTTTCCAAGGACACTACTCTAACTCTTTCTAGCTTTTCTTAGGACTTTCATGACCATTGTACAGCAGCAGGGGGACAACCCCATGGATGCAGTTGGTTGTCCAACGAAGAGGGCTGCATTCCATGGCTGATATGATCCTGGGACGCTAGGATCACGCACCTGCAATTTCAATGCTAATTTTAATTTTCAATCGCTGATGTTTCTAAGTCAGTGCAACGCCGTCTCATACGTTGTTTTCTGCAGTATCTAGATCTAAAGGGCTAACGCACTCCGCGAAGCAGCCTGAAATCGAGCTCTACGGAGCAACCTTCTCAAGTGTGTGTGCGTGCGCGCGTGCAAGTTGCATTGTTGGCAAAGAAAAGGTTTAACATGAATGACGCTTTGCCATGAACAGCCATGAAAAAAGCCAACGCAAACAATCGAACGAACGAGATCGGGGAAGGTAGCCATTCAACTAAGGCCGACACCGAGTTCAAAAAAGTAACACTGCGCCTTGGGCGCCCCGGCCCAGCGCTGTTCCTCAAAGAGGGGAAATGTAAGAACAAACCACTCGAACCCTCATATTGAAGAGACGGGACTTGTTTGACGGGGTGACAAATGGGTTTGCCATGCCCTTTTGCGTTTTTCACTTCGTGTTTTTGCCAGGGGTTGATCCGCCGCTCGGGCCCGATTTGCGGTGGTCAGCACATGGTTGAGGACCGCGCTGACACGTTTCTCAACATGATTCCCACTCTCCCCCGCCACACTGAGCCAGCCTGGCTCCTTTGGCCTCACCTCCCAGAGCCACCCCAGCCGCTTCTAGCGAAGGTTGCATGGATCGAGAAGACCTTACAGTGGTTGTAGAGTCTGTCGACCCGGTCTTGCGCGTTCCACCCAAGCCCAGAGCCTATCCAGATTCTGCTCCAACTGCTCCACGCATTCAACCCCGATGCGCAAGCTAGGGCCAGAAGTGATGTTGTCAGAGAGCCAGCAGGATCCCGCAATACTTGATGTGACCAGGAAATGGTGGCCAGTTGGAGTGTTGAAGAAGGTAGGATCTCTGGACCAAATGAGGAGGGGTTCTCTGGACTACAAGTGAGTTACCCACACAGTCAGTCACCAGATCCACGCACCACTGCCTCAATCTTCACACCCCACTCACCTTCTTCAGAGCCACCTTCTTCACACGCCACTCAGGCTTCAGAGCCACCTTCTTCACACCCACTCGGTCTTCAGAGCCACCTTCTTCACACCCCACTCAGTCTTCAGAGCCACCTTTCACACTCAACTCAGTCTCTAGCGCCCCTTCGGCGCGCGGCGGCCGGCCGCGCACAGCGCTAGCGCCCAGCCAATTCCCGCTCCCTGCTACGCTTTACCATCTTGCGTCACTGAGCCGCTACGCCTTCCCCGAACCAGCGGCCAGTGAATTCAAGAAAAACGCTTTTGGCATGTATGCCTTGCAAACGCAGATTATGAAACACTTCTTGGGTGAAGACCTTCAGCTTTTCTCTGTGACCAGCAAGAGCCACATGGTTTTGGAGTCTGTGCTGTTGTGTGACAAGGTGAGTCCTAGACTTCTGTGAACATTTGCAGGGGAAGACCAAATGGCAAGGGCCCAATTATTGGACAAAGCGTGCGCGCATTCTCTGGTTCTGCTTTTTGGCAGGCAGATGCCATGTGGAAGGAGCTTGCCAAACCAAAAAGCAACTCAAGAAGAGAATGAAGTAGACATGACCAGAACGTCGTGGCCCCCACTTCTTAGAAGTGCGAGAGCGACAATACCGAACACGTCGTTTGCCCACTTTGCGGGCACGATCTCGCATTCGAACTCTGCGCGACATACGAAAGTAATTGCAAAAGGACATGAGTTCCCACCTGACAGATAAAATTGACTTCTCCAAATCAGTGAAACCACACATGCAAGGCCAGTCAACCATCAATACATGAGCATAGAAGAGAAGGCAAAAAGCCAGACAATCAAGAGGCAAGCTCAAACAAGCAAAGATCATGCAGATAGCATACATCAAGGCCATAAGGACATTCAGTTTCGACATGCACTGACTCGCCTCACTGAACACAATCGTTCGTGGAACGTGTGCCGGTGTCCAGATCGAAGGCGCCAGGGAGCCAGCGGGATCCCAGAAGTAGTAGTGGCTTGTCAAAGCACCCCAGCATGCCACTGAGATCCTCGTTGGTGCCATAGCCTCAACCAATGCCTGTGGGAGAACGGTCACTCGAAGATGAGTGCGTGGGTGAAACAAATGGCTGCGCGAAAATTGATGCGATGTGTGGGCCAAGGGTCACCATCAGGAAGTTCACCGTAGAAACGATTGCGAAGAACGAGTTGGGAGAGACAATGATTAGAAAATGTGCAAATAAGAGGGTTGCGATCAGCTAAACCAGTGTTTGATGCAACTTCAAAAGACGCAAAGGTGGCAAGCATAAGACTATTGCAGAAGACGTGATCGATGATTGAACCTGTTTTTCCTTTGGCGCAAGTGATCTTGCGCTGTTGTCCTGTAAGGCTAGCTAAATTTGGGAACCCACTTTGTGGCAATGCTCCCGCGTTTTGGCGCGCCATGCCAAAATCCCTGGGCCCCCATCGCCCCGAGCACTGCACATGTTTTTCAACCCTGTTGCCGTGAGGGTGAACGTATGCTGCTTCCGACGTCGCTGAGCTACCGGCTGACCCCATTCGTACTCCGGATCCACCCTTACGAGGTTCCCAGCCGAAATCTCCTCCTTGAGTGCCCACAGAGCTCCACACCGCCCGCGCCGGTCGGCCATGGAGCACAGCCTCACGGGAAGGCTGATCCGTCTCCAAAGGCCAGGCAACCCCCAAAGCCCTCAGCCACCTGCTTTAGCCATGTATCCCCGCCGCCCGCCTGCGCCAACCGGCCACCATTGGCTTCGGCCCCCAAACCTAATGACGCGTCCTCCAGCGAGGTCATGCATGGTGAACACCTTCCCTTGGTGGTACAGCCTGTCAACCCGGTCCTCGGTGCGTTCCACCCTCCCCATATAGCCCTCCAGCTGGTCGAGTCGGGCTTCCAACGCATTAAGCCATAGCGACAGGGTGCGAGACACGAGACGAGAGGAGCGCAAGACGTGATCCGAGACGGCTAGCAGGTAAAAGAGAGCTGTATGGAGTCTCAAGGGCTGTGCAGGCAGAAACTTGACACTTGGCCGAAGTGGGCAGCAAGCGTTGTCTTTTTGTTTATTTGCGCAGCGAACGTCAGTCAATTCAGTGATAGGCCGCTTCAACTGGAACCGGAAGTGGTCGCACCGTACCTGAGGCCGGCAGGGGAGCAGATCCCCGCTGGTAAAAACCGGGCACAGCCGCACGGGTGTACCGTGGGCCGGTCCTCTGGACGAATCCAGGCAGAGGTCGCGGCATATAGCCGGCCCCGAAAAAGCAGCGCTGCAATCTGTGGGTACAAAGGAGAATCCCCAAACAGAAGGCTTCGACACCGAAAAGCGATCGACGTGGCAAAGGTTCAAACCCTACATTAGGTTCATGATTTCTACAGGCATGTGCGATACACGACCCCACACTTGCGACATGTGCGATTGGCTTCCTCGGAGCCCCGACGCGCACGCAGATGTCTACTGAGATTACGACCACAGCGCATACCGCATTGATAACATTGTCCGCGTAACCACCTCCCCGCCGATTTGGCCGCACTGTCCTGATGCCCGCGCTGATTTTTAATACATGTCCATCGATGAGCCTTTTTTGACGACGTTTTATCCGCCGACGAGCACGCAGCTGCCTAATGCGCCGAAGTTTCGACCGTGTGACACCCAGCTGAACAGCCCCCTGCGACTCTTGCCGTAGATGCCTCTCCCCACTGGACACCACAGTGTCATCGAAACGACGCTTACGACTGCCCGGACTCCCCGAACCCGCTCCATAGACCACACCCCCCGAAAACCAGACAGATCCGTGCACACCGTAGGGCCAAACAAAACGAAGCACAGCACCCCAAAGCCAGCCCCCACCAGCCAAACAACAGCGCCCTGGCCAGGAGCGACTGTTGTACCCCACCAACCCAAGACCAAGACCGCTCCCGAAGGGCGCCGCAACGTCTTGTTATGGTTGATGGGGGGTGCACGCGTCCCGCACCCACCTGTGAGCCAGAACACCACGAGGGAGGAAGCCAAATCCAACAGGAGGCTCCAGACCCGAAGGACTGGAAGTGGCTCAGCCTCTGGCTACTCTCACTAAAGCCGGAGCCGATCAAGGAGAAACTTCCAGAGCTACGGACCATACATAAGCCAGCCAATTATGCCATCCGAACCACGAACACACCGCGGCGCCATCCAATGCGAGGAAAACGGAGCCCGGCAGCCCTAACCACCCGGCCGTCGGCCACCTCCGCCGCCCAGCCTTGATTTCCACCGTGTGTCCACCACGCGTTCCAGTCGGGATCCATAACAAAACCTACCGTGCCAAAGACTACCAATGTCCACTCGTTACCATCGACCGTCAAGCGGCGAACACCCGAAGATCGATACTTCAGGTCCGTCAGAATAGCCAAGCCGATTTTCCTATGGGTCAAGAGACTGAGGAAGCACCGAGATCGTACGAGAGAAACTAGCCCCGAGACCGCGAGTGTTCCAGGTGAGCAGCCCCAACCTAGCTTTCCCTGCAGCCACCCGGGCACGTGGAGCCGTACGGCGCTGGGCTTTGATACAGTTCCAGCGATGTAACCGGCGAGCCCTTCGTCTATGTGACCGTTTGCGAAAAGTGCGAACCAATCGCCGCAAACGATTACGCGGCGCCCCGCTACAAACCGCCTGGGTAACCAAGCGTCGTAAGTGCCGAGCCCCGGAGGAGAACCGTCCCTGGAAACCCCATTGCTTTCGTTTCTGACCACTACTAGTGAGGACCGTAGAAGCCAGGAACGACTGCTGACCCCAACGACCCCAAAGCGGGGAAGAGGTGCAACCCCTCAGGATTGCCCCTCAACGTCCCCCTTTAGTTCGGTCGAAGGGGGGTGCTCGCGTCCCGCCCCCGACCTGTGAGCCGGAAACATAGCAGATATACCCAAACTACCGGAGGCTCCAGACCACGTAGGACTGGAGTGGGTTTGCCTTCGGCTTCCCGGACCTCGCCACCGCACCCCAACTTGACCCGCACCATGGAGATCAACTGATCATCCCGAGACCAAGCCACATCCACACCGCGCTAAGGCGTGCAGCCGAAGTTGCCCCGTAGCCCCCTGCGTGGAGGAATGCGAGCAGGTAGGCCACGAGCCACCAAACTTGCCCATACACCTGCACCTGTCTACCCTCTCCATAGTGAGCCACACCAGGTACTTGCTACCGAAGTTGCCCCGTAGCCGCCCGCGAGGAGGACCGCGAGCACATAGGCAACGTTTTCTGTCATATGCCAAATGGAACATGGAACCCAGGAATGATTTGCTAAGGTTGTGTAGATTGGACTTCTAGAAAGTTGTTTTAAACTTATTCAATTGAATGAAGGAACCAAATATGAAGATGTTTTACAAATTTTGACAATTGGAATTACACACACTAAATCTAGCAAACAATACGGAAACACAATCGCAAAAAGGATCCTCAGTGTGGGTTTGCCTGCAAGGTCTAAAGTTATAATGTAGTACAACTGACAGTGGCGGTACCTGAGGATCCCCAGTTTCAGTATGGATCCAAAAGTGTTTATAGGTGCAAAGATTTTCCAACTTGTTGATTGCGCGATAAACATACCCTGTTGGATGACTGCATGCTCAACACCATCATGCGACGAGTTGCTCCGGAGTGATGTAGCCCATTGTTGCGAGCATGGAGATTCGGCCATGTTTCTTCTTCTTTCATCCACCTCCTGGGTGGGACCCAACACCCGAGCACGGGGCACTGGGCCACTATGTTTCAACTCGGTCTGGCGACGTCGCTTGAAGTTCTCCACGCTGCCATCTGCAGTAAAGCCAGCGGGGTCCCAAAATCCGACCGGCGCTTGCACGCCCAACTCGTTCTCGAAGGTGTGTCGCTTTGTTGCAGGAACAGCGGGCTTAGGCAGAGCCCCCCTACTGCCTGCTGCGAAGAGGGAGCCTCAGTCGGGCTCACGTGGACGCCAGAGCGGTTCTGGCCGCATTGGTAACTTGAAGGCGTTCAGTGTCACCTGTTCTCACAACATAACACATTGGTTCAACAGGGTTTGCACCACCCCAGCAGCCAACAACTCCTGCATGCTATCGCTATCATCGATGTTTGTGTAATGCAGTCTCATTGATATCACAACTTTGTCATATCAAGGCTCAAATTCTCATCTCTATTCTCTACTCACCTGCATTGTCAGCGTTTTAACCACGGCCGTACGGCTTCACAGCCCCTTCTCAAAAGAAAACAACTTCGCAGCAATGTTACCATTGTTGCAAAGGTGTAATTAGTTTCGCAGCATTGTTATCATCTTACGAAGTTCTCATCATCTGCTATTGTCGTCATGTCATTACAGTTGGTGCATTGGGTGGGCGTCTCAACATGACATGGCATGATCCACAATTGTTGGCTTGCATACAATGGCATCATCGGGTATAGAAGCAGGCCGCAAAACTTGCCAAAGGTGCGAGAATGAATAAAAGTATACCTCATTCCAGCTTTAACATGAATAAACTGTTTGTCGGTGGATGGGGGGGTCCTATGACAAGTCGCCGGTGCAATAAACAACTCAAAACCCGGAGGACATGATCTGAGCAGGGGTCATCTCCTAGAAATGTAGAAATGTCTCATTGCAGCAGTTTTCGGATTTCTAGCTTGGTATTTAAACCATGTTGCCACCCAAGTCGCCTGGCGGCTGCCAAGTTAACAATGAGGATGATGGGATAAGACTTGGAAACCTGGCCAAGGGCTAGCCGCTAGCGTTCAGTGGGGCAGATCCGCTGTCGTTGTACTTTTGCTGTACGAATGCTCCTAGATGTTGACCGATTTCTCGATGCGCTCTTTCAATCTGGACACCAACTCTTGACCTTTAGTTTCACTTCTATATTCTGACCAGAGAAAGGTTTTGTGGAAAGGAATGAAATATGCCCCACGCATCAGTCCGTCAGCCACACCCAGAGCACCAGCTGTGGTTTGATGCTCCCGGACAGCGCCTGCGAGGCGGCACGTTGCTCGTTGAGCAAACGAATGGGTGGGAAAAGGTCTGGCATTCGAGTCTAAACAACCCAAGACATCTCCCAAACGTAGTCTTAAAAATCCAAAACATTCGATCATGTATTTTGCTGGGTTGCCATGCCGAGAGATCCGAGAAGTCCTTACTCATGAGAAGTCCGATGCCGATCAAATTGTTTGAATGTGTTTTTTGACCCTCATAGGTGTTAAGGGACCCTCCTCCATAATGTCTGACCCTCCCATCTTCGCTTGGATCACCACCAGTTGTTCTTTGGCTTCGATCCTCTATACTTCATTTCTGACCTGCCTTCTTGCCAGTAGCCGTCAAAGCAGCAACTGCAACACCTGCCACTGCTAAAGAGGCAGTTCTGCTTGGAGCAGCCTGGGAACATCAAACGTTGTCGCTTTCACATGCTTTCACCGGAAGAAACAGACAATTCGTCAGGTCTCACCTTTGTCCCAGAGGGATGTTGGCTGGCAGCATAGCTCGTGGACGCAACAACATTACACATTTTTTCGGAACCTGATCCTTCCCTGAATTTGATATCTGATAGCAGCCAATCGAAACAAAAATCCAACCGGTCCACGTACAAAGTTCTAACTATACTTATTCAAAGCTTAAAGCATAACTTATTTTTCTCCAAATACAAACTTGGAACTCTCTTCCAGATTTGTGTTTGCCTACAGAGGCGGCCTCCCTGGTAGATGTAGATGCCACAGTTGCTGCAGAAGTGGCCTCAGCCAAAATGCATGTACACACGCACCCATAAACAGCTCAAGCATCTTCTGCTCGGCGACTAATCGTAGGCATTGAACCAACATAATTATATTATCAATATGTTTATATACATAATTTCAGTTAATTTCATGTGTGTGTGTATGTGTTCAAATGCCAGAAAACAATGTTTGCAGACCTTCCTGCGCTTTGTAGGTGCCCAAAGATACCAAAAGGATTGAATGCGCTAGGTGCATGGCTCGCAAATGGCTGGTCGGCGCTGAAGACGTCGCAGGCGCCCCAACGAAGGTGCAGCCGCTCAAAAGTGCAGCTGCACCTGGCTCACTGACAACGAGACTTCGAGATACATACCAAAACGGGTTCTTAAAGAAGGCTCAGCAAGCTCAAGAAATCCCAGTTGAAACGCTTCTATAATATACATAAGCTCAAGAAGCTTCATAAAGCTCAAGGAGCTTAACAAGCCGCTGGAAGACATGGGAGTGTATTTTTTGCCGTTCCCGGGCCGGGATGTTTGACTATGGGGTATGAATCGGGGTATGTTTCGCGCGGCGTCAAGACTAAAGTAGTAGCATGTTCAGAAGGTATGCTTCGTGGTATGCTTCGGCGTATGCTTCGGGTATGCTCCACATAAGTCGAACATCCCAACTCTCCATAAATTGGGCACGTTAAAAATACAAACCCACATGCGACTCATCATTCATGATGTCCAGCACCAAGGAAGGCCTTTAGGAAGCTGCGTTACCAATCGGTTCAAGTGACCAAAGCCAACTTGCGCACCTCAACCACCCTTCCACATTGGGGTAAAGGTTTGTCAAAAAAATGAAAAGTGCGGCATGAGTTCACTTTTAAAAAGGCTTGCTGTCTTGGAGTCTTGGAAAACCTCAACCAGATTCTTCTTGCAATTCAGGTACCCTTTCCCCGATGGCATTTCGCACCTTGAGATGAACATTACATCTCGAACGCACATTCTGCGCATGGCCTGCGGTGGCAGCCAAAGCGGTCCCGGAAGTAGAAGACATCCTCGGTGCAAGCCACTCGAGAGACTGCGGGAAAACCAAGGGATTTTCAGCATCAAGGACTGTCGTTAACCCCCAACAAAGACGAGGCACGTGCGGAAAATATGGAAAATGAAAATCGACAAAAATAGATTGACTGCCCAAAATAATGAGACGGTTGCTCGCGCAGTCAAAACCTTAAAAGCTTGGGCCAAAACACCACATGAGTCACGCGAGCGACTGAAGAGGTTCTTTCTTGCATCCTTCCGGAGTCCGAGTGCATTTCTTCCAGATTTCGGAAGTGTCGGCACCGCCCGAAAGAACCAAACGAGAATCGAGGAAGGTCACCGTGAGAGAACAACGTGCATTAACAGCCACTAAAACCTGTATACCTAGGCCTCTTCTCTCAAAGATACATAAAGATACCTGTAGGTCCCTTCGCCTCTGTTCTCGCAGTGCTCTTTTCTGTCGCTCGTTCGGGGACGGTCTTCGGACCTGTGGAACGGCGACCTGCCCATACGTGGCAAGACCGGTAAAGACTGGTCGGACCCCGTCGCCCGAAACTGCTCTCAATCCCTCCAGAACAAGATCAGTGCCGACGTGAAGTTCGATTTGTTAGATGTTCTGGAAATGCCTGGAAGAACTCGGAAAAAGGAAAGAAAGAGTCAAGAGTCGAAAAGCACCGGTGCGCCTCCAGTGCACAAACAGGTGTCCTTTAGTAGCGTTCTTGCTACTAGTAGCGATGAACTTGTTGCTAGTAGCGATGCCAGGAGCTACTTGTGGCTTCTTGATGTGGCTAACAAGTTTCCTTGTCAAGAAAGCATTTGCAGACAAACCACCGAACGCTACGGCGATTGTGGGGAAGGTGAGCCGTTGAGCCGCTGACTTCAACAGCACCTAAGGTACCACTTTTCTACTTTCTTGGTGGACCCCTACTTTACCACGAGAACATTTCTGCAAAATCAACATGACGCCCTTCAAAGCGCCCGTGGTAGCATCAGTTCATGGAAGTTCCTACCACCGGAAGCCTGGGCGCACACCGCACCCATCGTGCTCTCCCCTGTGAGGCGTCCGGGTCAGACAGATCAGATCAATTAATACCTCACCACATCTGTCGGAACGCAAGGTTCACACCTGCAGCCGCCGATGTAGGGGCCATCCTCAGCCAAGTGCCAAGCTCAAGTCTCATCAGAACAAAAGATCACAAATCAATAATAATCACAGTATGTCGGGCTTTGGTTGAGATGGCCGACGGCAGTGGTAACCACATCCTTAAGATCGAACACACTTCGGAGGAGATACAACGAACTCGGCACCGGAAGAAAAAAACGTTCCCCCATGATCTTTTTTCCGTGAATGAGCGGCCCACTCTTTTGTTCCCACGAGGGCTCCTTACCATTCACTCCAAACTTGCATTCTAGGTAACTTCTCGGCTGAACAGAAGCAGGGAGTGAATCGCAAGGGCTGCAAACGTCGGCTCTCGATCCAGACCTGCAAACCATCTAGAGTGTTTTACAAGAGCACATCGGAGACATTGGGACAGCTAAAAATGTTACATGATGAAATGTGAATTCTTGGCACCTGTGATGCACTATGAAATTTGACAGAGCTCGTGCACCTCATCTTGCGATTGCGATGGTGTTCCTAGTTTCCAGGCGCTCCTACTGGCAAACTCTACAGCAGGCCGTAGCTCAAGTACTCGTGGTCACCAAACCCCACCAAAACAAATGAAGATCTTTCGATCTAAAGACCCATCGGGGATAGAGATGTGCCCCTTTCTTTCTAAAAACGAACCTCTGGGGCCGATTAGATGCAGGCCCCACTCTGCTCGCGGCGACGGGTCCAGTCCAAGGAGCATCTCAAAGGCAAAAAGGGCCAGGAAAAAATGTGGCCAATGCGCAAACCGCCGTTCCTGTAAGCCAAACAAATATTGCAGCAAGTGCGAAAAGTCCTCACAACGGACCCAAGAAATGTTGAGACTTCTTTGTGCCTTTGTACTGAATCGACTATTCCTTTGACAAGCTTTCAGTTTTTTACACTCCACCACAGGATTTTCAATGCTTGGACAGCACAACAAGCTTGTGCATCTTGAATTGCTAGGAAAATGATATTCACTGGGCGGTCTTGCCGCAGCTCCACCAAGAACCACATCTGAACTCATTAAATCTTACCTGCCTTACCTGGCCCTCTACATGAAGGCCTTTCAAGCAACAAGCCCTCCACATTTGACACTCTAGACTCTAGACAGCAAAGTCAAGTACAGTTAGTGACTGTTGCCAAATCCTCTGCGGCCTTCCGTCCACTCCACCTAAGTTCACCACCCTCCATGGCCCTCTTGGAGGGCTGAGAATGGGGTCGCGCCCGGTGGCGGTCACCTCACTCAGAAGCCCCACATGGCAGGACCAGTGGTTCCGAACATTCCTGGCGCTTTCTTCGACCAATGGGCGGGCAAAGGGACAACGAGGAAAGACGACCCGTGCCCGGACAAGAAATAACATTGGTGGCTCAGTTGCCAGTGTTGCGAATAGGTCAGGTGGTTCTAGATGTTCACCAGGTCTGCCCTCGGTAGTTCGCAACAAAAAGAGCAGCACCGAGGGATGCTTAAATTGGTACACATGGCTACAGAGTGAGTGGTTCGTTTTGATTGGCTGCATGACTAAACATGCTGAGTCGTTTATCATGTGACAATATGAGGTATGATGTGTGTGTGTGTGTGTGTGACCAGTGTGTGATTTTGCGTCATACCGATGTCAAAAGACTGGGGGTGTTGAGACAACTCAGCACAATGGTCCCAAAATCAAGATTATATAATTGTGAATTGTGATTGTTATTTGTTCTTGTTGTATTTATAATATAGATAATATAGATACAACAAGAAGAATCACAACACAGCCCGAACTTTTCGCAAAGAATTCATTGTTCGATCTACTTGGGTGTGACTACAACGCATCTGCGTACCTCCTCTGGCTCAATCCTATGCCCTTTCGATCCCCGTGAAACCCCCATCAACTCCCGGCAGTCCGTTCTGGAACAGCATGCCGGTGATGGCCACCTTCAAAGCAGCCCACGGGCCAACGTCGATGTCGAGTCTCCAGTGGTCAAAAAGGGTGTGCCGACATGGGTGTGCGTGCGTGTGCGGGTGCGGGTGCGGGTGGGTGGGTGGGCGGGTGGGTGTGTGCGTGTGCGTGTGCGTGTGTGCCTGTGTGTAGGGGGACAATCTCACGCAATTACTAATAATTACTATTTCACAGCCCCCACGCGATGCCCCGTTGGCGCATCTGAGATATGTGCCTCTGAAGAACCCTGAAAAGCATTCTTCCAAGAACATCGTCCCTGAGCTCCACTCCAAACCCCTGCGAAATCTAAGCCCCTGGCCATTGCCAATCGGCCGTTGGCCAGCTCAGAGTTGAGTTTCCTGCAAAGCCGGCAAACCCACTGCAAATCTTTGACAACCCTGGCTGGAACATGGAACGTGGTGGCTAATTACAGTACATTGACGGGCCATGATCCAAGGAATCCAAGGCTTCTCATAACATAAAAACATGGTGACTTCTTCTGCTGTTCCGGAAAGGTGACCCTGGATGTTTGCATCTTCGCAGTCTTTGCGTTTTGGAACAACAGTGCGGACCCAGGCGTGCAAAGCCTCCACATGATCGAACATACGGTAAAACACCATGGCTTCTTCAGAACCCGATCGACCCATCGGCGATCAATGTGTTGAAACAAGGGTGGGAACACTTGGGAATCAGGGTACTCTAGATCCAGCCCCTCAACATGTTTATATAGACCAATGGGACCTTCAAACACAAAAACCCTAAGCACAAAGGAGTGAAGCCAATGCCAATGCATCTTGAATTCCGAACCAAACACTACACACTCCAGAAACACACACACACACTACAAAAGGGATGTTCAAACTTTCATGAAAAGGCTGTGGTGGCCCCTCACTTTTCTGCTGACCACGCTTGCAAGATATATGCCCCCGAACGTCAGCGACCCACCACCAAAGGGGACGAACTGATGTGTTTTGTGTTAAAATAAAAAGTCAAGGCTAAGGTGACAGCGATCGTGCTTGTGACAAAGTCTGAGTTTCTGTTCTCGACAAATACGAATAGTGCCAACAAAAGCAAAAGAGCGAACCCCCACTTTCGCGATGCACCTCTTTCGGCCCTCAGCATCGCTCATGGGCCCGCTGGCGTTGGGCACGCCCAAGATGCCAGCGTTCCTGAACTTTGGAGCGGTCCACACAATCCATGGTTACCTACCGATGCCGAAAAGTAACACAACGTGGCTGCATGTGTTTGTTGCTTTTGATGAGGCCTTGTTGTGGCTTTTTGATGGCATTGTTGTGGCCGCCACAAGAGTTTTGAGGCTTCCAGCGCGGGATTCCAAACAATTGTTGAGTGCATCAACCGAATTCGGCATTGGCAGGGGGCAAGTCGAGGGCCTAACCTCGTAGGCCACGAAAAGCCGACTACCTCCCTTGCGCCTGCCACAAAAAGTGACCACCAAGTCCGAAAATGCGCACGGCCAACAAAGAGCCAGCACAACCCCCCACCACCACTGCCGCCGCCGCCACCACCGCCACGACGACGCAGCACTCGCTGTATGAAAAGGGCCAACACCATTTGAACACCACACAGCAGCCTTAAACAAAAAGTCGAAAGATCCAGGTCACCCTAAATAAAGACCCCAGATGGTAAAAAAATGTAAAAAATAAATTGTGGGCAGCAGCAGCACCCTGCAGCACCCTGCAGCGGCACCAGCACCTAGGCTCCACTGTCATAGACATCTGGCAGCAACACCCTCCAGCACCCAAACCCCAAAGCGCACGTAGCCATGGACATGTGCCGCGCTTTTCCAACCCCCTTCAGCTTTTTGAGACCGCCAAGGCAATACCCAAATTGAAACTGCAGAGTGCCATCAAAACCACAAGCTGACTGAGGAACAAAACCTTCGATCAGGAAGTGGTGGTGACCATGATCATTTCCCACTTCAACCTGATGCTAAATCCAAACAAAACTGAAGGAACTGAACTACGTGAGTTCTCCTGCGAAGTGGGATTGACTCTATTTCGTTTGCTTGTGACCTCCCAAAGTGCATTGAGGCTCTCGACTTTACATAAATGCAACTATCTATCCCCACTCTGTGTGTGTGCACCGAAAGTTGCAGTCTTCAAGGCCTAAATGCAGCGACACTGAAGGTTCGGGCAATCATAGATGTTCATCTAGCAGAAACGTGTTGATGAATACCTGTGAATACCACTTGATGTGGCCTTTTGTTCAACAAAGGTCCCCTTTCTCGGTGAAAGCCACCAAAAAACCTGCGGCTCTCCCGAAAGCCACTCCAAGCGTCTCATAGTCACCAGGGTCGCGAGAGTCATCAGCCCTGCCGTCTCATCGGTCCACCAGGTTTAGGACGCTACTGGGAGCAGAGGGCATCGCTACTAGGAGCAAGAAGCTACTAGTAGCTCCTGGTATTACTACTAGTAACAAGAAGCTGCTAGTAACAAGGACGCATTAGGTGGAAGGCCATCGCAAGTAGGTTGGAGGCCATCGCTACTAATTAGTAACAAGGGGGCCCTCCGCCTAATAGCGCCTAAATCAGTCCACCAGGTTGGCTCCTTTGAACGTCCTTCAAAGGTCCCTCCCTTTGGCCGTTCAGCCCGTTTGGGTCAGAGCATGAGGGGAGAGAAAGAACTGAGATCGAACAAACCCGATGTGCTATTGGGGGGCACTGGGGTCCTAGATCAAGGACCTTTCGAGATCAATCAGTGGGTCCACAGGCTTCATAATATGAGGCGAAGAGAAAAAAATACATCTTGAAAAAATAACGGTGATTAGCCACTCAGGGCCAATCACAACGTAAGAATTTTCTGGCTTGGTGTGAAGCCAGTCAAAAGAGTCCAAACTTCGAGGGTTCGTCAAGTTGTCGAGATATTCCTGTGAAGGATGAAGTCTCCACATGATATTTATGTTACATTCACAATCATACACATACTGCTTCTGGAGGTTGATAACTCAAACTATACTCTACGGATGTTAAAGCCATGTTCACCCCTTGCTGCCCATGTACCCCCAACAAATCTGTTCTAAGCGCCGGTCCCACGCTTACGGCCTGTAGAGCCCGAAGTCCACCATGCCGCAGAACAGAAAGATCTGGATCCAGCCAGTGAGGGGCACCTGCAAAACGGCTTTTCTTTCGGCGCGCGGCGAAAAGAACAGCACGAGTTCACCAGGGTTAGTGGCACGAGGACACCAAACATTGCACATATTAAACAACATCAATGCATTTGCAGAAAACACATTCCCGGAGTGCCCCCCCCTCTATGCCCCCCCAAGGTGTCGTGCCCTGTATGTCTTAGTCTTACGTCTTTTCGTGAAGATTCTCTTCCCACACGTCAGTGCGGCCGCCCCGGTTCCGCCTTCGAAACGCCTTCCCCACCGGTTCCGCCTTGCCCAGGGCCGCCAAGCCGTTGGGCACATCGGCGAACTTGATGCTCTTCGCAGGCCTCGGGGGGTTGGGCTTCAGAACAAGAGTCACGGAGTCGAGAGCCGAAGGGTGGAAGGATGGGGGGAGAAATGCCTCTTTTGGAGAGAAATTCCACCAGGTGAAGTCACTTTGACCTAATCTTGCGATTCAAGCTATTCAAGCTAATGTTCATCAAAGCCTTCGAAAACTGCTGAGGTTGAAAGATTTTGGTGTGAGGGAGTGTGCCACTCCCTATGCCTCCGAAATATCAAACGCAAAGGCCACGGCCTTTGACCCTCCCACTATTCCTAGAATTGTTTTTCCGTGACGTGCTGACTATTGACCAGCTCAAGCCTTCTAAGTGGCTCTGGATGAAAGTCAAAGGCACTGCAAAACTACTGGGATTGCTTTTTTCGACATCCTCTGCATTCCTTCATCCCGGAGTGCGGCGCAGCTCTGGGAGCCCGGGACGAGAGGTAGCCAGGGAAGCGGAAGTACTCCGGAGTGATGACTGGGCCATGCAGGGTCCGAGTTCCACATCTTAAATTCTTATATAAATTGTTTGGCACTGATACAGCCTTAGCAATTATCGAAAAGAATGCCTTGCAACATCTTGCAACTCCTGTTAAAAAGAAAACCTCATTATTCCTCCTAACTCCTAATTGTTCATGTTGTTTTCCAACCCCCGTGATAGAAAAAAAGGGAAGAACAAACACCCACCGCCTAGACCGCTGCTGGGCTCCCCCACATCCCATGGTCGCGAACATGGCCACGCGGCCGTTCTTCAGCTCCGCCTCGCGGCGGCGGCGGAAGGTCTTCACGTCGCCGTCCTTGGACATGCCCATCGGGTCCCAGTAGCCCACGGGCGCCTGGTTCAGTCAGCTGTGCGTGCATGGGCTGCGGCAGCCAATTGGAAAGGCCAGCAGGGGAGAAGAGGTGATCCCTTTTCAGCAGGCATCCAAACGCGGGCAGAATGAAAATCTGATGGCTGTCAAAGGGAGTGTGTATTCACAAGATCCTTGGATTGCCCCTGTTGTGGAGGACCCCGACTTAAAAGCTCCTCGGGCATTAGTCGTATGTAACGACATCATATTTCCAGCCGCCAAATCCTGTCCTGTCGTCCACTTTTTGACTCAACTGCTGGCGCAACTGCTGCTGTTCCGCCTGCAGCCGCAACAAGTGCTCTTGGTGCAGCCGCAACCGCTCCTGCGCCGCGATCCTCTGCGCCTCCGCAGGACCGGGATCCGCCTCCACGTCCGCCGGGTCCGCCTCGTCCGGGTCCGCCAGGTCTGTCAGCACCGCCTGCAAACGGAGCGTCTCATGGCCCAACTCCTGCCGCCGCGCGCGCAACTCCGCGAGCTGCCGCGACAGGAGGTGGTGCTGATCCACTTGGCTGGTCATCTCCTGACACCAAGCTGCTTCAAATGTCACTGAGGAACAAACGGAAAAACAGGCACCGTTGAAAGAACATGGATTCCAAGAAGTCTCCAACAACGTGCTGACTCTCAACCAACCAACCAACCAACCAACCAACCAACTGGCAATCCATCTCCCCTCCCTCCTGCTGCAGCGTGTGGGCTGCTTGCTGTAGCGCCTGCTCCTTGGCATCTTCTTCCGCCCGCGCTTTCTCAAGCTCCTCCAGCTGCGCTTGCAGCGCCGCTCTGCGGGAGTTCTCGCCACCCCGAAGCGGATCAGCTGCAGATGGCGAGTCCACGCTGCAAAGCTCTCGCCCCTTCCAATCGCTGCTGTAGCCGAAGGCTTGGTGGTTCAAAAGCGCCTCAAGGCGTTCCACTGATACGGTGCCCGCAGCATGCCCTGGGTGTAGGCCCCCCGGCAGCAGCCTCAGCCGTTGCCGCCGCCGGAAGTTCTCCAGCAATGCACGGCCTTCCACGATATCCCCCATCGCTGGGAGAGCACAAGTGAACTAACTCCGTCCTTGCTCCTAGTAGTAAGGCCAGGAGCCCCTAGTAGCGCCCTTGCTCCTAGTAGCGATGCCCTTTGTTCCTAGTAGCGTCCTTGCTCCTAGTAGTGAACTAACAACCTCCGTTTCCAAAGAAAAGATGTGGTGTTGGCCTTCATTTTTAGACCACTTTTCTCATCCACCGGTGGGATGAAGGGGGTCTCTGCTTCTGTTTGAACACGTCCACGCCCATGTTGTTGTGAGAGTTTGAGCCCTAAAGACTAAAGACATCACATAATTAGCACTAATTGCATCTAGTTACGATGTCTTTTTTCTCTGCGGATCGTTTCTCTTTGTCAGGATTCTGCGTCGATTGATTTATAATGTAAAAATGATGGGTATCAGTATGTACTAGTTGCACACATGTTCTGATTCCATTTCAGCTGCCGATGGAAGCATGCCATTCGAGCCGAGATGGGGAGTGTCCTGCCAAAATGAAAGCGCAAAAATGTATAACGATGTCGTGCCGTTGACCATGTATCTTCTAATAAACTCTATTTTAATCAAAAAGGACTGGTGCATCGAATACTACAACACAAGAGTACATGGAAGCTTGCTTGCTAGTGCTGACGCCTGTCGTGGGATGACACAGGTGAGTTTAATGGGTCTCACTTCAAGAATGTTTTGTGGGTATTATCTATTCTTTTATGACAAGGGCATGTGACTTGTTACGCAAACGTAAAATCTCAGAATCGCAGACCATGGTCGTCCACCCCAAGTCGTCCACCGAGCTCATTCGGCCCCCCCCAACCTGAACACCGAGCTCATTCTCAAAGGCCCGCAAAGGCGAATCGGTGTAGCTGGCCCAGTCGCCCCAAGCACTGCCCGTCAGGCCATCCTGGCCGTGATGATCTTGAACACAGTGCAGGAGATGAATGGTGGATGTGAATTTCATGGAACTTCCACAATCGTTTCACTAAAAAAAGTAAACAGCACGCACAAGCATGGAATCTTGCTCTTGTTGGGACCTGCTGACTTATGAGTGGATCGTGGAATCATCTACCAAGCTTGCATGATCTTTCACACCACTATAGACCTGCTATCCAAAGAGACCCTTTTCTCCATCGGGGCTGTGTTTCGGATATATGGTTGGTCACGACAATATCAAAATAGAAATAGGTTTTTCATGTTTTTCCCTCAACAGTCAGGGCTGCAGGTGTTTTGTTCCCCCTGATTGGTGTTGTCTGCTCCCTGTCTTTTCTTCCCTGGAAGGTGTTTCTGTTCCCGGCTGATGTTCTTCATTTCCTTGGTTGGGAATGGGTTTAGGGTTTGCAGCGGTTTGCATGATGACAGGACTGAAGCCTGGCCTGTAGACGCCCCGATTCGAGCTTTCAGGTGCGACGTTCGGCACTGCTCCCCATCTGACACTGCGTCAAAACCACCCGTTCTTCGTAGCAAACCAACTGCGCGTAACCATAACCGTAAACATCACCACATCGCTTAATAGCTATCATGATTGTTAATGAGACAAACCATTCTGGGCTGGTTCTTGCGTCACAAATCATGGCACTTGAAGGGCATTAAGATCATTAAGACTTCCAAGAAATGTAGGAAGGAAAGGCGACAGCTTAAACTATATAAATATATCGATTCAAGTCGAGTTCTCCCCCAGAAACTGAGCCCTGCTCATCTCTGAGCTTGCTCTTTCGATGACATGTGCTGCAACTGTTTGTTGATTCAGCTTGGCCCAAGCTCCAAGCTACTCTGACCCCAACAAAAATGGCCCAAGCTCCGTCACTGAACCATCGCTCTCTTAGTGCCCCAAAATAGGAAGAAGCCAAAAAAGACGCTGCCACGACACGCGCCCAAACCACGACACACTCACACGCCTGGAAGAACATTCCGATGATGGCCATCATAGCCTTGAGTTTCCATCCACTGTCGGATTTTCAGGGCGCCCGCGCCGCCCGCAGGGCTATTTCTAGCAATTTCTTAAGGCACGCTCGAGCACATCTAAGTCTATCCAACCTCTCATGTGCAACAAATGTGAGAACACAGTTCGCCCCCCAAAAACAAAACACTGGCCTCTTACTGTTTCTTACACATTGACTGTTTGAACCCTTAACCGGGCACACCCAAAGACTTGAGAGAGGAGGGGGGTGAACGAAAGGTAGCAGGGAATCAGGCGTAATCCGGGAGGAGGTGAGAGGCCCCCCACTTGTTTGAAGAGAAGTGAGTGAGCGTGATGAAAGAAAGACTAGTGCACAAACGCTTGACAAAACCTCCAGAAGCTGTAGCGGTCTAGCAGTTTCAATACAGGTTGACGTGCCTTCAAAAGGAGTCACCTATTTCTCAAATGCAACTTCGGATTTACATAGTGACGTGCGGCGACCCTGTAAATTGCGTGGCCGCAGGCCATGCTTGCAAACAGGACGTGCTCAAAAACACTGGTATTTACGAGGTTTCGTTGCCGTCGATCCACAGCCGCGGCAAGGTCTAAGGCCACGCTTGAAGACAGGAGGAGCTGAAAACACTGGTATTTACGGTATTTTGTAGCCGTCGATCCAAAGGCGCACCACGGTTGAGCGCTGGAAAAGCGTAGAAAACCGTGTAAATACCGGCGTTTTCTGCCGGGAAGGTGCACAAAACCCTGTAAATACCATAGTTTTGTGCAATTTTGAAGCCTCCAAAAGCCTCAAAAACCCTTTCTGACAAAATCTTTCCTGGCTTTTGGTCTTTTTTCGGTCATTTTTCTAACCGAGACGCATCAAAAACCATCGGTTTTTGCGGTGTTTTTTGCCGGACAGCCACAAAAAACGCTGTAAATTCAATGATTTTTGGTCACTGCTGAGGACTGGAAGAGCTGAAAACACTGATATTTACAGTGTTTTCGAACGGTTGACCCCGAGGCGCGCTAGGGTGGAGTTGAAAGGGGGGGGGGGGAAGGGGGCCCCCCCCCCCCCGCCGGGAAACGAAGATGTCGGGGACCATTTCTCCGAGAGATAGGCTGCAGCTCTGGGTTAATACATTTTTGCTAAAGCAAAAGGAAAACTCAGGTAGCGTAACCGCTACCTTTCGTGATCTGCCAATGGCTCAATGTCCCAATGTTCCAAAGATGTGTCGATTTGCAATCAATTGAAATCGGATGCTGTTGGCTGCCAATGAGAAATCGTGTTAGTCATTCTTCCGCTCTAGTCTGCCCAACGTCAGTTGCTTTGCTTGGGTACCCAGTGTTCTGAAACCACCTCCTGCTACAGTATTGAACTGTTAAGCCTCACACCACCCGGGTCCAGATTTTGCATCACACACGAATATCCGCCGCACATGTTGGCCAAAGAAGCCAAGCGCCCGTTGGCCAACTCTGAGTTCAGCTTGCGGGTGCGGCCATCGCCGGGCGCCATGGTGCTGCCATTGGGCACGCCCAGAACGCCTGGAGAGTAGCGGAACGCCCAGAACGCCCTACTCGGAAGGAAGAACCGGGGTAAGGAATGAGGAGAACGGTGCAGAGAAGAAGTACCCAAACCCTCCAACAATCATGGAAGTGGATGGCATGGCCCATGGAAAGACAATCTTGCTCTGCAAACAGGGCATTGTCCACTTCACTTTCATGTTTGTTGCAGGAAGCCCCAAAAAAGGCCATGGATGAGCCAGTGCGGGCAACATGCCTGCATTCTTGTAGTCGCCAGGCGCGCGGGTGGGGTCATAGGTGAAGAGGCCCTTCTCGATGAGGCCCAAGAAGAGGAAGATCTGAGTCCATCCAGCAGCAGGCACCTCGGCTCTAGGAAAATCTCTGAAGTGCCGGCACATTCCAAATGTCTAGCACAGATCAGAATAATGAGCTTTGTGTGCTTTAATCTGTGGTAGTGACCTTTTGCAGTGGGAAGGCATAGAAGGGACTCTTTCAATCATCTAAATCACTAAAAAGTCTGTCTTGCCCATCAAGCATTCCAACCACCCGGGCATGGCATGTTCTCATGTCGTGTCTCATGCAGGTTCGGTTCCGAATGACCAAAAGCAGGAAAGTCATGCAGGTTGGGCAGGAGCCCAGTGCCTCAAGAGGACAAAGAAGACACTGATGATTTGAGTGTTCTCGTTGCTGTAGATGACTGACACAATCAGCGCCAAGCAACCTTGCCCAGGGCAGCCAAACCGTTAGGGATCTCGGAGAACTTCAGGCCGGCTGTCGGAGAGCAGTATCCTCTCGATCGGGATCTCACTCGAGTTTGGAGCAGCTTCGACTGTTGAAGGAAGAATTCCGTCTGCGAAAGGTTGGTAGAAAGGATGAGAACCCAACTCAAAAAGATTATGCTACTGTGGAAACATGTGCCACATGCTGCATTTCTGGGCCCAACAGCATTCACCCAGGAGGCACCGGTCTCAACTTGTAAAGCTCCCAGAATTGCGAGCTTTCTCTCAGCGGCACTCCTTGTAACTTTTTTGAAACACGGGCAAAAACACATAAACACGTTCAAGTTGCCCCCACCAGCACTGGATTCATTGAAGTCAACAGAGGGGTCTTTCTTCCATGTCCCTCCCAACAACTGTCATCCAAGTTCGAATCAGCTCAAGTTTCAAATCCAACAGGCCCTGATCGGATGCAAGGGCCCGGAAAGAGTCCGACACAAGACACGTACAACGTCACCGACCATTCTCCATTCAAGACCAGACCTATCAGCTTTCTCTTTCGAAAGCCAACTGGACTCGTTCGAAGATGCCTGGAAAGCGGACGTATTCAGGGGTGATGTAGCCCATGGCAGCCAGCATTGCCACACGGCCTTGAAGTGAAGATGGAGGACCAGCAGGTGGGCGAAGGACAACAATTGAAATACCCGGTACAAGTTGGTTGATGTGTTTACAAGAAGAAAGGGCAAGAAAACAAACGACATGCTTCGGCTTCAGCTTCTCAGAACTCTAAAGTAGAACTTTGAAGCTGCCCCTTTTAAGTCAGAACGGGTCAGGAGAACCGCTGAGATCTTCTCATAGAAAAAAGTGGAAGAAAAAAACAATTGCAAAACGCGACGCTTGAAGTTGGCAACAGCTAAAAACATCCAGAACATTAACTCGGGTTTTCCCCGTTGGAGCTCGTCCGGCCTTCAACAACCATGTGAGATACGGTTCAAATTTGATCGTGCGGCTGAAGCGGCGGAAGGTCATCCGAATTTGGTGGCGTGTGTTATCATTATTCAAGCTGAAAAATGCACTGCGAGATCCCACAACCACTCGCTGAGTACTTGTCACTTTCATTGTCTTGGACTCATATCCATTGGAAAAATCGTGAGTAGAAATTCCCTTCGTTCCACTCTTTAGATGAGGTCTTTTAGGGGTAAAATCACGCCATCTACTCTCCCTAAAAAAAGGACGTCTGCAGAACATCTGCACATCCAAGCTCCAAACTGAAAACGTCACTGACCGCCCTCCGCACGCTCCGCACCAGCTCACCGGACATCGAGGCGCCGTTCTTCAGCTCGGTCGCGCGGCGGCGCTTGAAGGCCTCCACATCGCCGTCCTGGAGTGGAAGGGCATCGCTGCGAACGAAGCAAGGACGAACATGGGAAACGAACAGAACCCGAATTCCATCTCAGAAGGGTGATGAAAGATTCAGGACCTCCCCCTGCATTTCCATCCACGTAATGAACCATCAAATTGTTCGGTGTTGACCGTTTTGAGAAATTGAAGAAATAACCGGCCAAAGAAGCATCACGACTGAAAAGGACATGGGTTTGGGGTGTTTTCTGCTTCAAGGACAATACGTCTCTTGGGGTTGTTTCACCCATGAGTATACCTTCCAAACAACATCTTCAGAAATTCCTACCAATTGGACTCACAAATCGATACAAATCGGATATGATGAAAACGCAACGCATCCCGCCCCATCGGTGGAGCCTTGGTAAGGCCAAAGGGATCAAAGAAGCCGAGCGGTGCCTGACACCAGCGTGGGAGGGACCCCGTCCGGTCGTTGAAGATGTTTGAAGAGACTTCACCCACTACGGTTTGAAGACCACCTGTCCCCGGGACCTACCTTTCATGCTATTGTCATGGAATTTGTTGTTTACGGTTGGTTTGGATTAAAACCAAAATATGACTGTTGGTGTGTGTAAATAGTTTTAGGATACCAGTTGGTCATCTGCAAACTAAAACATCTTTAACATCAAGCTAAGTTATCAAAATACAAATAGGAAATCTCTATGCGCAGTGCGGTATGCTCCCCACGTGCATTTGTTCTATTCCTTGTCTATGAGTTTTCTTCTTGCAGGCTGCCAAATCCAAAACCCAAAACCATTATAAGACCGGACAACCCCACATGTTATTCCCCAGATAGCGACAGCTATGGGGCTTTTACTTCAAACAACATCAAACAACAATGAGCTGGCTGTGAGACAGGATGTCGGTGTGGGGTGCTGGCTGTGGTGCTGGTGCTGGGTGCTGTGGTGCCAGTGCCGGGCGCTGGTGCTGTGAGCTGGCTGTGCACGTGCTGGGTGCTTACTGGGTGCCGGGTGCTGAATGCCGGTGCTGGGTGCTGTGAGCTGGCTGTGCGTGTGGTGGAAACAGGGTGCCGGTGTTGGGTGCTGGCTGTGCGCGTGGTGGAGACAGCGTGCCGGTGCCGGGTGCTGGTGCTGGCTGCGCTGGTAGTGGAGACACACCACGCTGTACTGCGGTTTTTCCAATGTACACGGGGCGCAGTCCAGAAAAATCTTTGGCATGTTTTTGCTATCTGGAATCTATGCTGGTGTAATTTTTCTTTAACGATCACTAGATTACAGTAATGTTCTTTACTTTAACCGTATGACATGGAAACGAAAGGAAATCGCAAACAGAAATTGTTTGTTGATATATCTGGAAGAGCGACATGAAGTCTAAAAGATAGAACGCTGAAGCGGCGAGCGTCTGGAAGATAAACTTACAGACAGAGGTTGTTGCCCACATGTTCCCCATATCCTCAGTAACCCCGCCCGTTCCCAGCCATGCGTTCAGGCGGGGTCGTCTATACAACGAGGAAGTAGTAGAAGAGCAACACAAAAACGTGTGGAACACACAAAACTTCAGCAGACTGTGAAACTGCGTGGGGGGGGGGAAACAAACGAGAGAAGAAGAAGTCCGCCGACACAACCGGGGCAGGTCAGACTGGGATCTGCATGACGGTCAGCACGTCAACGCAACCGAAAAAACCACACCCACCAAGCACCGAAAGACGCAGGGCCCAGCAGGCACAGCAGGGCAAAGCGCCCACAGAGGGCACAACAGCACCAAAGGGCGAGAGCCCGACGAGACCGGAACTCACTGGCGTGGACGTCCCGCGCCCGGACGAGACCAGCGCGCACTGGTTGTGAGAAAGAGACCACAGAGCCCATCATGCAGGATACAGGTAGTCATGCCCAAGTCGCCGGCAAGAAAAGAGCGCTGTGAAGCCAAGTGGCAGCCCTCGCGCCAGCGGGCCCCACGACCATCGCCGGGCGGCGCCGGAGATGCACTTCATTTGGGCGACAAACGGCCAACCTTCAACTTTTTTTTCCCTTGCCCTTAGGCGGAAGGTTTGCCACCTCACAAACTCGTTGAACATATTTCGAGGGGCGTGGAACGCCCATCTTAAAGCCCAGGTCTGGCCAAGCGCCATCACCATTTCGGGAAAACACACCAGCCAGAGCCAGAGATCCCCGTAGCTCGCGGCCGGCGGCGCTGGCTGTAAACGAAAAGACCAGAACCCAGCTCCGGGCGTCACCTGGCGGGCGAAGCGAGTTGCCCAAGCTCCCGACGCAATAGTCCGATGAAATCAGAGGTCTTTGCGACTTCTGCAGCAACGGGAAACTTTTCACAGGCCAAGACCAACGATCGAACCAGCACTTTGTAGAGCCGGACCTTGAGCGGCGGCCCGCGATCTGCTCGGCCGCCCGAATTCTCCTGCTTTTCGCCATTGTAGCTCTCAAGTTGCAGAACAAGGCTCTGCTTGACTTGTCCGGCCGCGAAGAATACAAGCTGGAGTTCCGAGCGCAACCGGGTGGTATCGCGGGCCATAACCAGAGCCAGGTCTTGCACGGCGCCCAACTGGTCTTGGAGCTCTTAACCTTCTTTTCATTTGCTCGGACATCGTCTTTCAACTTCTTGAACTCACGCTCAGACACAGTGCTGCGGCTACGAGCAGGGGCAGAGAGTGGCAAATACACAAAAAGAAGACCCAGCCGTCAAGACAGCACACTCAACTACACTAGTCTTCGGGTGTGTAGACAGCAATAGGCCTTGTAGCCACTTGCCCTGACGTCGTCCCACTGGTCGGAGAACGCCCGTTTGGCCCAACCGTTGAACGTGAGCCTGCGCGACCATGTCCATGATCTTAGGCGCTCCAAGCCACGCGCCTGAGCCTCGGTTACGCAAGCGTCCCAGCTCCTGGCCCCAGCGCGTGACAGAGGAAATGCCCGATAGACGCGGCCTTTGGTACTTCCCACACACACACACACACACTAGACGCCAAGCGCCAGAAGGCCTTGCGAGCGGGTTCCAAGCGTCGGCGAATCTCCGCATCACAGCTACCATCGGGGTAATAACGGTGCGTGTACTTGACTTGGCCAAACCATCCTGCGCGAAAGGGCATGGCAATGTCAGGTGTATCCGGCAGCGCTGGCCAAGTCCAACAGACAGGACCAAGCCCCACCGGTCATGTGTCGTTGGAGATCACGAGCCCATGTTGCGAGCTTATCTACGGTATCAGCCACGAACGCCGCATCATCGGCATAGCCCAATTCATGGAGCGTAAGATGGTCCTACGTCGTATATTTCGCTAAGGTGCCGGGATCCAGGTGAAGACGCAGGATGCCATCTATGCGGCAGGGCCAATCCAGACGACCATCAACCATGCACCCGTTGCCACTCACCGCGGCCAAGAAGATATTGAACAGCGTCGGCGCCACGCAGCACCCTTGGCCCAGTCCTGTGTTGAGGGCGATACTACGTGACAGCACACCTTCACGGGCCTCTCTACCAATGTGGAATTCGCGCACGAGCGCAATGAATTGAGCAGGAACGCCTTTAGTCGCCAGAATGGTCCATATACGCCGCCCCGACTGACGGAGTCATAAGATTTGGCAAGATCCACAAACAGAAGGCGCAACGGGTGCGATTTAATCCGGGCGACATCCATGGCCACGCGTAGCGTAAAAAGCATATCGGAAGTCCCTCTCCCAGCCCGGTCGCGCAAAAGCCCAACGTCTTCGCAGTACGCCTGGAGACGGCCGTTCAAGATACTAGGAACCGAGGAGAGCAGGATACCCCGCCACCGTGCGCATTTGGCAAGATCGCCGGTTTTGGGGAGGGGAACTAGGAAATTAGCCTTCCAGTCGACCGGCATCGGCTCAAGGCCGTTCCATATTCGGCAAACAAACTGTATACAAGAGTCGCACATTAACGATCGACAAGTGTTGAATAAGCTCCGGTTGGACACCGTCAGGTCCATGTGCTTTCCACCCTTTAACTGGGAAATGGCCGCAAGCATGTCCTCTAAGGTTGGGGTCGCATCCAATGACTGGCGCATGGGCAGGGGTTTGAGCTGGAGACCAGCCAGCCACTCGGCATGCACAGACTTTTCTACGTTTAGCGCAGTCGTAAAATGCTCTTCCCACTGACGGAGCCGCTGATCCCGGGTTAGCAGAAAGTCCCCGTCCGCGTCTGCGTTACGAAGCTTTGCACCAGGCTGACGACCGGATACAAAAACTCTCCGTAACCTGCGAACTGATGGTTGGGAGATTTAGTATCGACGTCAAGTTGAATATGTGCCA